TTTTTCCTACATCTCACAGATTAGATCGGGTCGTTGGATGGCGGGCGATGAGGTGAAGTCGTTGTGCCAGATGTTTGGAATTAATAAAGCAAATCCGGTGTAACGTGCCTTGAATTTTAGTTTTAGCAGAAATCTTAGTTTATCAATTTATTGAACTAGTTTATTTTATTTGGAAATTTTAAATTTGTTTCGGATATTTGTGATTTACTTGCTATTCAAGTTTTATTTTAGTATGAAATAATCATGATGAAATAATAGGGAATGATGTTCACGTCTCTGCTTTGTTAAACGCAATTGAATCACATTGTTGTCCTTTAGCATTAAATGTCAATATTTGACTTACTCATGTTTGGTATAGTACATCAAATGTCATTTGGATTTTAGATTAATAAAAGGAAACTTTTGGTAGCGATTCGAAAACCCTTAAAATTTTGGGTCGTTACAGATACAACCTAAAAGCAATGAACTAGCAAAATCACAAAGAAATTGTATTTCTTAATTCTAGGTTACAAAATATATGTTGCTCTATATTCTCAAGGTTCCATGAAAATCAAGTTCTCATATCAAGGAAAAATACAGGACAAGTCAAGTCTGGCCTCGGGTTATTTTTTTAGTCAACGAAAATTATCAACAAAAACTTATGAAGGAATTAAAAATAATAATAAAGAGAGAAAAGCGACAATAACAATGTGTAATATCACAAACTTGGCAAAACAAATTGCTACCGACAAGGTAGCTATCGTCAAATGATTACCGAATTGAAATACAAATTGTTACCAATGTAGTTATCATATAACAAAAAATCTCAACTCACATGAAGCAATTTACTACTGGAAAGGTACGTATCCTTGAAAACGATAAAATTTTTAGCGTTTCGTTTTATAGAAGATATGCGTATTATTTTTTCAACTCTAGGGTTTTCGTTCTTAGCCCTATGGTTTGCAACTTTTCTGCTCAAAAAAATAATAAAAATAAAAATTCAACAGTGGGCTCCTCAATCCGCGAAGAATAGCCCCAGAATCTACAAAAAATCAAAAACAACTTTTAATAAATAGAAAATGGTAAAAAAAATAAAAGAAACGAAAATAAGTCGCCGTCGTCCAGTCACCACTTGCCTCGCCTCATGTGCAGATGTCGAGTGCTCTACTCGCCGTCACAATTCTAATGGTGGCTCCCAATGGTCAAAAAGATGACTTTGAATATTCCGTTTTCCAATCCTACATCTTCGACCTAGGCTTTGAAGCCACTTTCATGTACTTTATCTACAAGAAATCAAAGAAATAACCAAAAGAGAAATGTTTTCCTACTTACAATGAGAAGTCTTACTTTATAATCTTATTTATGATTCTCACATTTTGAAAGAATCGTGAATAAAGTTCTCATACCACATCAGCAAATAGACGGTCTTATTCTGTCCATCGTAGACAGGAGAACAATTTCGATTACCAAAATATCTTGCAAACTTGATTCAAAGCTTAGCACAACGTTAACCTTGACATTCGAGTTGGAAGAACAAACATTAGGGCTCAATGTTACCCTAATTCCACACAACCTAAATCTTCAATCACTTTGTCCAAACACTCATTTCCAACCCAAATCCTCAACTCATGAATCTGCCAAGAACGCAAGAGATTAATCCACTAATGAAGAAGAATTGACAAAGAACTCGTAGCCACTTGGCACGAAGAGGAATCAAACATGAGTCATGCTTCTCACTTAAATTCTTTCCTGCCTAATGTACAACGATTTCAAAATCTGATCAGATGAATCCATTTTTGTAGAATCGGTTCTATAAACTGCTCCTAATTTGCCGACTTCTTTATCCAACCTCTTCACGTATTCGTGTTGGTTTTCGCCATAGTTTCAACCATGCCGAAGGATTTTTTTTTTTTTTTTAGTTATTTGATGCCAGGGAAATGAGTCTAATGACCGAGGCTCAATCAAAGAAAACCCAACCAAAACCAGTTAATCAAGCTAGCAATTATTCAAGAATTGATATGACTGCACTGAATTTTCAATAATCTAACGGAACAAAGAATAAAAGAGAATTGGGTTAAGAACAGAGGAAATGAAATGGAGAGAATTTTGCGTTCCAAAATGCAATTACATAACAGAAAAATCATAGAGATTCCCTTTCTCGTCATGCTCTATGTAAACAGTTAATAACTCATGCAATGAAATTCGATAGGAATAAAACGTGTGTCAGTGAAAATGCGATTTCTTTGAACAGAGACATCTAATGTTACCTCCCTTCAAATTTGAAATTTATATTTTTCTTGTTCCTGATCTTTTTCCTATCTTGTTTATTCTTCTGTCGCCTTATCCTCTTGACAGTTTGGTCTATGTTACCAGCACGGTTCATCTCAAAGATAATAAAATTTGTGGCAGCATCAACTCATTAGTCATTTTTGCCTCCCTCAGCCACCATATCTCGATCTCAAAAGTTATTGGTTTCCTATTTCAACTTTCGCGAAAGGCATTTCGCTACGAAAAGCAGCACAACTCATTGGTCTTTTTTTCTTCTATTTTTGGAATCTAGAGAACAAGATTTGAAACCTTGTTGTAAATAAAATTCTTTATGGTCTAAATATCTAGTTTTTCGATATTTTCGAGATTGGGAGATGGTTGGTGGGTATAGAGAAAAGAATATATGAACTATAATTTCATTTTTGTGAAAATTGTATTGGAAGTCTGTTTATAGTCTAAGCCCTTGTTTGGGTTCTACTTTAACAAGGTTTTGGGAAAAAATAATATTTTGGAGAACGTATAATTAAAAAATAATAAATTTTTTTGGATTTACGTGTATTATTATTTTATTAAATAATATGTTGTCAAAAATATAATTTGAAAAATTATAATATAATGGAGCCCAAACAAGGAATAAATAAAGTGCTAAGATACCAAAATGATATATATAGAGTTTAGATTGCTTGAATTCATTGCTAAAGTATTTAATCTTAGTAAAATAAAATAATTATTTTTACATCAGTTTGTATGGTTCGTCGCCCGAATCTTATATCCAATTTGGCCGTGAGTCCGGTTTAGTTTTGGTACCAGAGTCATGTTTATGATTTGACCATTTAAGGTTTCTCCCCCATGTTGATAGACGAGTGTAAATATTGTTGAATCTTTGCATAATGAAACAAAGTTATATGAATCATTTATTCAAATTATGAGTAAGTATGATCGAAATGAATGCATCCTTATTGAAAAAAAATTCCATGGATTTATTTAAATCTAAGGGTAAAAAACTCTTGAAATACACTAAGCCCTGTTTGAGCCACATTCTCGTTTTTATTATCATTCTTATACTCATTTTCAATCGTACATTTTTCACATATCAATACCTTTTCTTTTTTCTTCAACCACACATTCCCCATATCACATTAAAGAAAAAAGAATTTTTTCCTAAAAAATGTGCATCAAACACATTCTAAAAATGCAGAGGATATAGAATTCTCTAATAGAGAATCAAATTAGAAATTGGATTCTTCTAAACGTAAAGTCTAATTTAATTTATGATT